CTGTTACTATCATTCGTATTATTATTACGATAGTGTTTATTGTCCAAGTTGCTGATGGCATGTAGCAAAACTAATTTCTGCTCTTAGGCTATTTGCTTTTAGCTATTAATTCTACACTGCTATAGGTGTGGGTTATGTATCTGAGTAGTAGGGTATCTATGTGTGTGTTTGTGTGATTATGTGGTTATAGCACCTTTGCTTGATAAATAAAGGTAATGATGTAATTCTGTCAGGCAGTTATCGCGGTTAATTATACGGCAGAAATCCATAAACAATAAAATATAGTAAATTTATTCTGCTTAACAAAAGAACACCTGTATATTGCATAAATTTATCTGGCCTTTTCTACATCAGAATTTTTTTCAACACTGTCTTTTATATAGTATTTCCAATAAATTATCGCTGCAGCAGCGTTCAATTAGGACTTTGTCGTTTGGCTTGACAAAACAGCACCTGACGATACATCGCTGCAACAGAGTCAAAGACAGATGCAAATTTAAATAGCAACATACATTTGGTAGTCTAAATCATACAGCGTGTGCGGAGTTTTTTCACTGTTATTGTTATCCTCATTTTTGGTACCAGTTTTTTTTTTTGCATTACAATAATTACTGTTGTTCAGTCATCAGATTTATAAATAAATCATACGACAAGGCGAAAAGAACAGAGGACTAAGGAGAAGAGGAAGAAGAAGAAGCCTCGGCTGCTTTTGAATATCCTAACAAAAAGCAGAACGCTGATTTAAGCAAAAATTATCAAAATTCTGCAGTGTCATCACTGTTAACAACAAATACGAAATTCAGGTGCGAATATTAAAACTAGGAAAAAATCGAATGACCAATCTATTTGCACTTTTTTTTTTGACTTGCAGAATTGCAACAGTATGTTTTGTAACCTATTTCTGTCGTTACGCCTTACAACAAAGTAAAAAAAAAGATTCTTTTTTCACAGGTACTTTAACTCTGTTAACTGTAAACGAAAAACAGAAACACGATAAAGAAATCAGTAACGATCGAAAAAATGGAAGCTTGATGAAAGATTGAAGCAGACTTTTTAACAGTTTATATTTCATTAAACAAACAGTTTTTTTATGCATTAGTAAAAAAGGAAGGAGAAGGTTATTATTTTCAAGGTTCTGCTTCTAAATTGTAGCAAAAACCTGTAGCACATTAGTTGCTAAATTTATTTTGGCAATTTAACTATGCCACTATAGTTCTGGCGACTAAATTCAGAAAGCCTGAATAAAATGTCTGTATAAAAGATGGAGAATAGTGACATTTATTTACTTGAAAATTTTACTCTTCTGTAGTTCATATCAGTCATCAATCGAATAAAGCAATATAAATTTCTTCTCTAAGGCAATATGAATTTCCCTTCTTTTTTCCTACCCCCTTCTTGTTGCTGCTGAAATATAAACTAACGACTGTTTGCGACCTACTCAAGAAAAAATTTTTTTTTCTTTTGTTTATGCAATTACCAAAGAAAAAGGAACAAATTTTTTGCTTTGTTTTTGCTTTAATCCTTTGTCGAATTTTATAAGTTTTTAGTTAGTCCTTTTTCAACTGAGTGTTTGTGGTTTTTTTCAAGAAAAAGAGAAAGAGAGGAGAACAAACAGTTGTTGCCAAAATATTAATATGTAGTATTTTTAAACTAGAAATCAGGCACTTATAACTGATCTATGTGTCCTGTTGACGATGACGATGATAACAGTGATTTTTGGTGACGTTTTCGTTACCACTGTTGACACTGCTAATAACACAACAAATACCAATATCAACAGTTTATGAAATAGTAATAATATATATGGTTTTAGGAAAAAGCAACAAAAAATTGCCACATTTTTTTTTCTAATGTCTCTCAAGACAAAACAAAAGCTTTGAAGCGACGGATAAAAAGCCGTAGAAAAAAGTAAACAAACAAACAAATAAATAAACAGACAAAGAAAATAATCAGAATTTCCTTGGCAACCAAATATTCCCTTGAAATCTCTGAAATATAGCACTGACCTGCCGCCTACGTCCGTTGTTTTTCGAATTACTACTGCTGCTATAATATGCTGTTGTCGCCGTCACTGAACTACACCTATACATATCTGAACTCAAAATATGTTTGTGTCTTTGTGTGTTTGAGTGTGGATGTGCATATATACACTTGTGTACCATCCTTACACTTCACCATGGTCAGTCGGTAAACTGGATAACATCCACATGCAAAAGTTTTGCCCATCTGTGTGAATGGTTGCTGTTGGAAACCCTTTAATGTACAACTGCACATTTCTTAATCCTTGCTTTCTCACCCTCTTTCTCCCGTTTTTTCAAGCACTTCCCAAACAACCTTTGTGTGTGAGCAAATTGTAGGAATTTAACTGAAAGAGCGTAAGATGAATTTCAGACACGATGCATGACGATCATAACTTTATTTGGCTGAAATTGGACGGGAAAAATAATCTTCAGCATAATACAAGTCCATTAAAAAAAAGAACAAATAATTAAATGGAGGTGTGGTCAATTAAACAGCATGTCAAAATATTTAAATAATGTTAGCACTATCAAAAACTGCACAGATCTGTTATATCAAAGACCCCTTTACCCAAAATAATATAGTAAAAAAAAACCTATGATGGTTTCGTATATAATAAAGAAAACAAAAGAAATTCCCCCATTTTTTCACTCAAGTAACGGATAGCTGAATTCTAAAGATAAACAGGAGCAATATTTAAATTTGTCATCAGAACTTGTCACCCTTATTGAAATATATACAGAAGAACACAGTTTCTAATGCATACACAGCTTAGTGTTTGAGCGTACATGCTAAAATATGTCGGACAAAACCCAAGAAAAATATTACGCGCTACGGTAAGAAGATTAAAAGCAATTATTGACGTCTTACTAAAACTACAGAAAACTACGGAAACTGTACCTAACTACTAAAGACGGCTACAGCAATAATTAAAATAGAGGCGCTTAAGTGCGTAACTGTAAAAAGCCGTCACTTGAGAAATCAGCTTAAATAGAATACAACTATATACACAAAAAGAATAAATGAGCAGATAAATAACTGTTGCAAGTTGATCGGCCAACATTACGTTTCCAAATGTAATTGACGAGTTGGTCAACTAACTGTTTGGAGGAAACCAACCGGGAACAAACTGCAAAGATTCATCCTGTCTCATTGTCTTCATTAGCTTTTACCTTTTAAAGGCCTTCTGAACAAAAGAATCTGCAAAACAGCTTGTTCAACTTTACTGCAGCAACGACTTCGCTAACCATTTGGCAGATATTATGCTTGGCTGCCGCTACTTCTTGCCTGTCCTTCAAGAAAAAATTCATTTCAAACACTTACATGCTTCTCGGGTGAATGATACATGTAGTGTTCCCAACCACGGCTTTGTTCTACACCGAGATGACGCCATTCACTTTCCGACAATAGGTGTTGCCGTGATATTAGCTTTGCGACTTCCGGCGTTATGTGAACGTGTCTGAAAAGCTTCTGCATAAATGATTATCAACCAACAAAGTAGTGCAGATAAACATGGGAAAATTTTTGGAATGCCGCAAAAATACAACTAAAATAACGTGGGATCTTAGAAATCGTCTCAGTCGACAACCATGACAAAGCTCTTCGTACAGAACTGTTATTGAAAGAATTTGAATTACGCAGCAACAAAATGGAAAGGAATACTGCCACGTATCTTTTTTTTGCAGTTTGTATCCAATGTCTTTATAAAGCCAACTCCCAAAAACTCTCAAATGTTGTTCTTTGCAAAGTATAAAGCAGCAAAAGTTATCGAAAAAAGAAGTTTAAAAGAGGGAAAGATTGGAAATCAACCTATATTCATACTGATCGTCACAATATTTTTCTGAATAGATAAAACCGTTTGTTCCAACTGCAGACATTCGCGGCTTTGTTGCTTTTTTTTTTGTCCAGTTAAGCAATACGGTTGGGGATTAAAGAAAGTTCGCTAAAAGCAACCAGAACAGTAAGTGAAAAACAGCAGCATAATTCAAAAAGAAAAAAGAAAGGAAAAACGTCCCAAATCAATAATACCGAATGAGTTGAATTTCTAATGAATGCTTGGTTATTATATGAGCACATACCTTTTACGGACGAGAACGACCAAAAACCAAAACAGAAGTTTGACAGACTACCGCAACTGTTCTCTTTATTGTGAAGCATTAGCATTTTATAAAGATTACCAAAGAAGATCAAACATTACCGTAAAAGTTTGCAGTTCCTGTCATCACCAAATTTGCCTCAAATTATTAGATCTTCTTATTCTGCCCTGCTTTTTTTGTGAAAGGTAGGGGGGAGGTGAACTAATTTGGTTTAAAATTACTTTATTTTTTTGCATCACTATCACCAAAATAAAGCAACTGGTGCTGTTAGGCCAATGATATTGCCCATAACATCCCTGCGGTTAAAGACTGCCGCCACAGTTTCACGCTTTCTTAGCACCAATTTTTTTTTTTTTTTTTTTTTGTTAAGCCCTCCATCCTTCTGTGATGTAGTTTATAACAGAATTTTTTCAGTTGATCAGACTTTTTGCAAAAAACGAATTAACCAGAAAAGAAAACTAATCTAAGAACCAATTTTTTTTATCTGTAATCAATGTCCATTTTCATGTCACCATTTGAACATATGAAGTACAGGACGTCCATCTCTTAACCAAACAATGGTATTCCTTTGGATGTCTTTTTTTTTGTCTCATCTAAACGCTATTAATCATTTGAAACAAAAAGAAAAAAAAATATATCACATATACCTGACTCTCATTATGTGCTGCTGCTATTGCTGATCTGATTTCGATTAATTTTGTTCATTAAGCAATGAAGAAAATCCAAGTAAAACGAGCTCAGATGCAACACTGCTTAAAATAATAGGGCAATAAAAGTTTGCTTTTAGAATAAACAATGCAGAAGTAAAGACATCTCCGACACTATTCTGCAAGCAATCAAGGCAAAAAAAAAAAAAAAAAAAAAAAAAA